CTGATTGGCTAAGATGCGCCTGGCTGCTGCCGAGCTGTCATTCGTAAGTCCGAGGACTTACGAGGCTACAACACAAACTACCCCCCCATCCCGGCCATCATATTCACCTGAGTTTTCTAATGAATTCTGAATATTATAAACCAACATTGTTGATGGCCATTTGGGTCTTGGTGGGATGAAATCTGATAACATGCCTCCAAAGACATAAAGTTCTGATTATCAATATACTGGATCTTAAGTTCTCCTGATGTTTTTTAAACAATCGAAGTGAAAAGGGCAATGCTCCTATAATGTAAGTAATAGATGAAGATAAGTACAAATGTATTACACAGTCTAATCTGGAGGTGGCAGGCAGAGAGGCAGAAGAAAACCTTCTAGGGGGCATGGCATAAACAAGAAGTATTCATGGGTTACTGTGGAAGACATTTCCCCCCAAGATACAGAGGTTGGCAAGAGCCATTCTCAACCAGTTTTCTTAAATATGGTTGTCTCAGTTATACTTATACTATACAAAACTATTACTTAGGAAAGTAGGGTAAATTCTAACAAGTGCTATTTTGAGCAACTTCTTCTAATGCTTACCAAATACAGCATCTTCTAAGTTGAAGCCATCATCTAGACAGAAAAAACTATTAGATATCAATGTCCCATGTAGAATAACCAAACAAAAGGCTAGTAGTCATGCATGAAAGGAAATGTACATAAATATAATAGAATTTAGACAATGAAAAACAAACAAATCTATTTGCACAAAGAAGTAAATGGGACAAATGTTAGAGAAATATATTAATTTGATGAAAACTCAAAATTTCCTAGAACTCCACTGATATTTCTCACAATCATTTTAAGAGTTTTCTTATATTAATAGGAAAAGAACATCCAAAATGATTCAAGACAAATATCTATTAAGAGCATTAATAAGTCAACTTATAAATTGTGGCAGAGTGGTTAGAATCCAGCCCAACTCTGATGGGGCTCAAGGTTGATTCAGATTTCCATCCTTCTGAGGTCAGTAATATGAGGACCCAGATTGTTGGGGGCAATATGCACATGTGTAAATTGCCCGGAGAGTGCTATAAAGCACAATGGGGCGATATGTAGGTCTAAGTACTATGTGTTTCTACTGCTAAATAAAGCAACATAAAAATATTTGATTTTCTTCAAAAAAAACTTCCGCATTTTAAATCCATAGTTTAAAAAAAACCTCATATGGTAGCTAGGACTAATAAGAACATATGAGAATACTCACACATTGACTAGGAAACAGCAAACTATAAATATTTAATTTTACTTCTATTGGTCTTCAACTTTCCTCAAAATTAAAGGAGTATATTTTTGGACCATAGCCATTTATTTTCAAATACAATCACATTCACAAAATAAAACTGTTCCCAAAAAAATGCTTACTGCAAAAATCTATACTTACCTGTTTTTTTGGTAACTGCACTAGGCCTTTTAGTAGGAGCTAAAATATAAAAGTAGAATATAATTGGTTACAAAGATCTATTAAAGCAGAACAGAATAAACATTTATTCCTTAAATCCTTGTTTGTAGTCCTTCAGAAATGAAAATTGGTGGCATGATTTTATATAACTCTGAAGTGAAAAAGCACTAAAAGACACTATATAATCTTTCAAAAGTACTCTCATTTAATGAATAGAAAGCAAAAAAACCAACTACCCCACCCATTATTTTGTTTATTGTAAGCACCGATGCTCCAAAAATATGCCCCATCATCATAAAATGGCTCATCCCTGCAACAGAGTGATGCTAAACTGATTTTGTAATAACTAAATCTACAAGTAAACACAGATTCAATGTTTAAAAAATCTTCCCAATCTCAACAGAAAGTTGAAAAAAATATGTGATGGTGCTTGAGATTCTAATTTCTATCAGCAGGATGATTGTCTCTAAAAATATGGTCAAAAGAGGACCAATTTGGTTAGTAGAGGATGCCACCAAAAGAAAGTTAAGGTTTCACAGTGAGCTGCATCCAAACTGGGGCTGTAGGGGAGAAAAAGCACTGCTGAAAATAAAATCTCCAAAATTTACATGAAAGACAGTTAGGTAGCTCTGAGTGTTGTTTATTGTTCCATTCTAAGACACTCTCCTTTATGTCTCCTAGAAATTTGTGTTGAAATATATTAAGTTATCCCATGGTTCCCTGTGCACAAATAGCACAAGAGGAAAATACAAACAGAGACATATTATTTTATGTGCCATACATAATGAAATACAGTTCTTTGCTATGGTTATTGCTAATAAACAGGTTGAAAAGCATTTCAAATGCCATGTTTACCATACTTTCTCTATATTTGTTATTCAAGTAAGTCTAATGGAACAGCATAAAGTACATAAGTTTGGGACTGTTTGTCCATCAGTGGAATGGATAAAAATGGAGTATTCAGTGAATATTTAGTGAGCAGAAAAAACCCAAAGGAAAAGAAGATCAAGTTTGATATGAGGTCCTATCCAGCTTGGTTGGGGGTGTGTGTGTGTGGAATTCTCAATGCATCTCTACATAAACAGCCAGGGCAGCTGCTTGAAATGTTTTCCTCTCTTCCTATCTAATCTACCCTATGTTTTCTTTCCTGCCTGACCACATGTCCTAGAATGATGATCCTGATGATATAATATATAACTGACTTTCTTTAAAAAAACTAGGTATGGTAACAAGCATATATTTAATACCCTACAAAATTAGCATGCTTTACCATTTAGAAAAGCTTAATTTGTAATTTGATGTCTTGCCAGCAAGTTAAAGTTTACTAGCAGAATAAAATGCACTGCTCAAAGCAGGAAGATCTTAGGCATCTAGACTGAGCAAGCTATAAAATGATGTAATATTATACAATTCAAGCAAAATCTACAGTAGTTATAATTTGAGTAACATCACATTATAATGTAATAATACTATTACTATAATATGTATAGAAAGCCATTTTCAGGTCTTGTAAGATTATAATTACTTACCTTCAGTTCCAAGTGCATCCTTTAAATCAAATAAATCATCTCCTATTCCACAAAAACAAAAATATTACTGTTTTGCATATTCTACTCAACATTTATTTATGCATAAATAATCATTTATAGCCCATTGCAATTTGTACTGCTTTGAGTAGTTTACAGACACAAACACAAATACATAATATCTAAATTACAAAAGAAAGTTCAGAGAAAAAGCAACAAACTGAACATCTGGGAGGGGCATATTATTCATTCTAACTAAGAGTCTAGTAAAAGAGCTGTTTTAAGGGTTTCTTTAAAAAGGACAGGTAAATGCCATATTAATCTTGGGTGAAAAGATATTTCAGAGGGCAAGCACGAAGACAGAAAAGGCCCACTTTTAGGGTCCCATCAGGAACGTTGTTTAATTGATGGGACTATGCTCAGGCTAACTCTGTCAGACTATGTGTGTTAGGCAAAAACAGCAGTCCCTCAAATAACCTGGTCCCATGCTATGAAAGGCTGATAACCAGTGATAATAACACCTTGCACTGCACCTGGAAACCTACTGGGATCGAGTACAATTCATGAAGCAGAGGCATATCATGCCTTGCCAATAATTGTCCATGCCATAGCATGCTGTACCAGCCATAGCTTCCAGATCTAATTATGGTTAAAAGCTTGTGAATAAAAACTTTCTTCTGTTCGCTCGATATCCCATTCTTTCTTGTAAGTCTTAAATACATTTCAAAACAGTTCTTCTAGCTCTATAGCAATAGCAGTAGACTTATATACCGCTTCATAGGGCTTTCAGCCCTCTCTAAGCGGTTTACAGAGAGTCAGCATATTGCCCCCAACAATCTGGGTCCTGGGTCCTCATTTTACCCACCTCGGAAGGATGGAAGGCTGAGTCAACCCTGAGCCGGTGGGATTTGAACCGCTGAACTGCTGATCTAGCAGTAGCCTGCAGTGCTGCATTTAACCACTGCGCCACCTTGGCTCTATTCATACAATGTATTAAAAGGGACAGTTTATCAAATTAATGTAATTATTTGGCTCACATAACACATACCAGCTAAAATCAACTCACTTAAAACAATTGAGAGGGAGGGAGGGAGAGAGAGAGAGAGAGAGGGAGGGAGGGAGAGAGAAAGAGAGAGAGAGAGAGAAAGAGAGGGAGGGAGGGAGGGAGGTAGTTTAAAGCAGCATTTCCAAAAGTAGTTTACACTTTCTTGGATTCATAACTGCACTGAAACCAGAGTTAAGAGAGAAGCTGAAATGCCCATCTGTTCCTCACATGCTACATTTTGAACAATTCCATTTTTTAAAATTTCCCCAATTATGAGAATACTCTTATAGATAAATGATGACACGACATTCGAATATTGGGTACAAGTAGCAAACTACAACAATGCCAACATTATGACCCTAACATGAAATACATACTCAGATGATCAGTGTACATCTATACATGTTAGACATTTGGTGAATTTATTCACAAAGTTGACTGCTAATTCTGTGGAAAATATTTTAAGAAAAAGCACTTTCATATGTCCCAACCATTTTATTTCTTAAGTTCTTCTTTCAAAGGATTTATCCACTGCTTATCACATAAATTGAAATAAAAGAACTGGTGGTGCCCAAATGAGGTCTAATATACTCAACTAAAAGAAAACCAAAGAAAAGAAAAAGAACTATGTGAGTAGAACTGGAAGAAAGAAATATTAATACATGATCATTTGAATAAGTATAAAGTTAACATAGAGAAATATTTTGATTAACAGCATAGACAGTCAGTTTTACATTCTGACTTTACATTAATTCTTATATTTAAACATCTTCCTTTAATAATGCTACTGGAAAAAATGTCCCCCCCCCCCCCGTTACAAGGCTGTGGTATCATAAAAGCCGCAAACTGTTCCAAATCATTCTAAGAAACACCCCTACTGTTTGTTCCCAGTCTCTTTTGTGTACATGGCACCCTTTAAGGCACTTTTGAATTGAAAGGATTAACCAACGATATCACTGTTGCCCAGGGGACGCCAATGGGAGCTCCTTTCATGTCCCCATCAAGCAGCTGGAATGAATGACAGCAGCTCACCCCACTATGCAGCAGCATGCGAGTCTCAAATGCAGGCTTGCTAATCTCCAATCCAGCATCCTAACCATATGAGCCACCATGATCCTACCATTGGTGAAAATAACTTTTACTACCACCATAGACCAGTGTATTCACCGAATTACAGGATATCAATAATTATGTGGACTAGATTATGTACACTATGGCAGGTGTGCCACAGAGATTCCCCGATAGCTGCCTAACTGCCTTTGTTTTATTATTTTAGATTCTTTTAATTAAAAACAATGAAGAGGATACTAGTGAAGCAAATCACCAACCTCATGCATAACTTGTATTTCAGTAATGCTGCTAGGTACCACATAGAGTCAACCTTAGAAAATAAAATGTTGCGTGATCACACCCAAAAATTTTGTTCATTTATCGATAAATTACTATTTTGTTAATGGTCAAACTAACTCTTGCCACCACTATGTGAGAGTACCGTAATATTTTCTCAAAATTCCAAAGATGCTCACAGGTAGGAAAAAGATTGGGAATTTATGTTCCACAGCTGCTGGTTGAAGAGAATTTTGAACAGAGGGGAAGGAAATCTCCATGAATAGAATTATCTTCAGCAACAAAAATTAGCAACCTGTTCACACATCTTATTAAGTAATTTTAGACCTTCAATCCTTTGATATATATGAGTGTTGAGACCATTTGGACAGTGGGTTCACCACACATAAAGTCAAATGGAACAATATATTTTAGTTTTTAATTTTTGCCAGATGCTCAGCAACTGATTTTCACTCATCAATCAAGCTAAAAAGTAGATGTGCATAAATTCCAACATAAAATATGTTATACAGGACCAAAACTGTTCAGTCAAAATACTTCACCAACTTTGGTTTACAAACCAATCAGGGAAGAGGGAAACAGAAATTTAAAGTAGATGCCTTCTTCAACTAGTCTATCAAAACCTTTTTTATATGTTTGGGAGGGGCACGATGACTCAGCAGTTAAAGACACTTGTCAGCTGGAAAGCCTAGCAGTTTGAAAGCATGCAAATGAAAGTAGATAAATGGGTACCACTTTGGATGGAAGGTAACACCATGCCTTCCATGCACCTTGGTGTCTAATCATGCTAGCCACATGACCACAAAAATGTCTTCAGACAACTTTGGGTCTCTCAGCTAAGAAACGGACATGAGCATCTAGAGTCTAACACAACTGGACATGACTGGACTTTTACTTTATATCTTTATTATTTGATTATGGAAATCAGCCCACACCACAGAAAAATCAACCACCTGAGAGTGAATCTAGCATAATGCAGTTGGCACTTTCCCATTCTTAACTGTATTGGGAAGGTAGCACCTTGTATCTTACCAGTAAGGATGGGCAAAATGATCATGCATGAATTGTTCTGCACTCAGAATAGCTATTTTGGGATGGCTTGTGCCCAAACTGATAATGAACATTTAGATTGGATATGCAATGAAACAAATAATGCAGTTGTTTTAGGCAGAAATGTTTGGGATCGACAGCAGGAAAAATTAAGGCTGATGCTGACAGTAGCAACAACAACCTAGGACAGTGATGGCTAACCTTTTTCTCGTTTGCCAAAATCGCACACACGTATGCGATGGCATGCGTGCACATGCCCACACCCATAATGCAATGCTCCCTACAGCCTCCTGGGACCAAAAATGGGCCACACACACCCCCACACCCTATTTTGGGCCTAGCACGCCTTCCTGAAGCCTCCTGAAACAAAAAATGGGGTGCACTCCCGCACATGTGACTCTTCCCCCATGCATGCACATGCAATCCCCTATGCATGCATGCACATCTCTTGCGTGCATGGCAGAGACCCGAAAATCAGCTGGCCAGCAGGAGATACATGCACATGCGCGGTGGAGCTGAGCTGGGTGATAGCTCATGTGTCCGCAGAGACGGCTCCATGTGCCATCTGTAGCACGTGTGCCATAGGTTCGCCATCATGGACCTAGGAGAAGCAGGGGAGAAAAGAAGGTACCAAGAAGCTTGGGGCACAGGAAAGCACCATGTCCCTTGACTTTGAAGAAGAGTAGCCGATAATTTGCATTAGCCTTGCCCTACTCAGTCCATAAAATTACTTTGAGTCCCTACAGGTTTCTGTATCTTATAAAAAAAAGTTTTTTTAGTGATTCAAGGTTGATTCAGAAAGGTTCAACAGAACTTACAGCATGTAATGTTTGTTGCAGAATAACAAGTTGTAACATCGTCAGTCATTTCATACTAAGCAGAAATGTATAGGCATCATTCATCCCAATGAGGCAAAGAAATCCTGGCAAGATGTTTAACATAGCCTGCCAAGCAGCATTTTTAATTAGGTCTGCAGTAAGTGAAGTTAGGATGACTCAACTCTTCACTGCAGTGTTGCTAGAGTGCATCAAACAGGAGGATCAACCAAAGAGAAAAAAGAAAGGCGCAGATATGAACAGTTTATCCTGAAAAAAACCTTCTTTAAGTCAATCTTGAAAACCATTGATCAAATCTTTGTTTTCTATAAATGATAAAAACAAATATATCTAAGACTTCCAAGGAGAGAGACCAGTATTTTCATGGACTGAAGGGCACTAAAAGCGGAAAATAAAGGAGAGGTCAGACAATGAACAGATTTCTATTGCAAATTTGTATGGAGGCTGACACTTTGCAGTTTGGTCATAATTTTTTTAAGAACAGAAAGAAAAGAATGACCCCACCAAGTTTCTCTGAAATATATCTAAATTATATTATGAATTATATTATGAATTATATTATGAATTATATTATGAATTATATTATG